GTCTTGAGGTCAGCTCAGAAATCAGCAAAACCCCACCCATCACAGGTACAAGGATATCAAAGTACAAGCCTTTTATTTCAGAGGAGGACCCCTGAGCCCTTTTCTCAGGTAGGGAATGTCTAGGAAATGTTCTCTTCAGGATGACTGCACTGTGCTCAGATGTCCAGTAACTCAGAAACCACAGCAGCAGCAGCAGCAGCCAAGGGGACCTGGCTGCTGCCTGAGCTGGTGACAGACCCTGGTGTCTTCCACATGGTGCTGATTTAGCAAGCATGCAGAATGCAACAATTATGGGGTCAGGGAGGCTTCCAGAGGAGGGCTCAGGAAACTAGGCAATGCTTTACAAGTTTAGAATCCCTACAGGCAGCAGTGATTAACAGAGTTAGAATCTCTGCTGGGAGGGCAGTGCATAAAGCTTTGAAAGTGAAGCTGCAGCTGCAGTGGAGAGCCAGGGAGTTGAAAAAGCCAGCAATGTGGAACATCTCTTGGAGGAAGTCACAGGAATGAGTGGAGCCAGCCCGAGACTGTGACTCTGTGAGCTGCAACTATCAAGGCTATATCTGCAGGGACACCCACATTCTCTGATGTTCACATCATGCTATCACAGACCCCAGCTGACTCATAACTACACTTGCAGATGTTGTTACTGTTGGAAGCACAGTAAGGTGTTGTCCCAAAGAGGAAACCATTTGTCTTATCTAGTATGGGATGACCTGTGATTTCATGAAATTGGGGTATACTGATTTTGTTCTTGGGAATATGTGAACAGTTGAATGACTATTATAAAGGTACAATTTCTACCTGAATAATTCTGACACAAATGGTCAGTGCACATGCAGAAAGAGCAAGGACACATGCCACAAGGTTAATAACAAATGGAGCACTTATACCGTATGCTAACAACTGTATCACACATGCTAATTCTTTTGAGCCTTACAATCTTATGAGAAGGGAAACATTTCTCCATCCCATTTGTATTTGTGTTAATTATTACTGTGAGGAAAGGTTTATTTTAGTTCACGGTTTCAGAAGGTTTTAGTTCATGGTCACTTAGCCCTGTTGCTTTGGACCTGTGGCTACACAGTACATTATGGCTTCCCCTCATGGCAATGAAGTGAGAGGGTCAAGAAGTCCTGGAATCCCCTCAAGAGCATGCCCCCAGGAGCCTAACTTGTTTCTACTATGCTCTGCCTCCTGTAGGTCCAGCCACCTCCCAACAGCATTAAAGGCTAAAATCCATACTACATGGGCCTTTGGGAGACAGTCCAGAACCAAATTTCAGCACTGTTTCCCCATATTAGCCATTTCTACACGTACAATTCCATGACATTGTGTAGCAGCAATATTATATTTTGTTCACCATTCTGGGCAAAAACTCCATTGTGGCAGTAACTTCCTAATCTCCTTCCCGAGCACCTGATAACCACTTTTCTGTTTTCTGCCTCTGCATTTGCCCATTCTAGATGTTCCACATAAATATAATTCCATTGTACTTATCACGTGGGGTCTGGCTTATTATGCTTTTGATTTTTCTAGAGTCATTGCCTGGCTTTAGTTCTCTAGCTTCAGAATGATTTAGGAAGTATTTTCTCTTCTTCAATATTTTGGGAAGGGGGCTGGTGAGATGGCTCAGTGGTCTAAAGCACCTACTTAGAACAAGCTTAGCAAAGCACAGGGACCGCGGTTCAATCCCCCAGCACCACATGCCAGCCAGCCCCGCCCCCTGGTGGGCTGAGCTGGCCACACACACACACACACATAAATAATAAAAAATTTTAAAAAAATATTTTGGGAAGAATCTGAGATGATTTAGTGCTATTTTAAATGATTAGGAAAACTCACCACTGAAGATTGTAATCTTATGCTTTGTTGAAGGGAGATAACAATTACTCAGTCTCCTTCCTTGTTGTAGGCCACCTCAGATTTTCTGTTTCTTATTGAGTCAGTTTCAATAAAATTCTCAGAATTCTCTTTCATTCTTTTTAATTTTTGCAAAATTAATAATAACAGACTCACTTTCATTTCTAACTCCAGTAATTTAATTTCAGAATTAGCCCTTTTAATGTCCTTCTTTTTACTTGTTTAGGGTTTTATTTGCTCTTCCTTTTTTAGTTCCCTGAGGTAGTCAGAGAGGTTATTGACTTGAAATCTTTTTAAATGTAGGCATATGCAAGTTATAAATTTATCTAATGCTACTTTCACCACATCTCATGAGTGCTGACTTTCACTTTGACTTCTATAGCTTCTCTTGCCCTGTTGACTTCTTTGACCCATTAGCTGTTTAAGAACATACTAATTTCAACATCAGAATGGATTTTCCAGTTTTCTTGTATTCCTTTCTAGTCTCATATCATCCAGGAAAGAATGTTTTGTGGGATTTCAATCTTAAATTTACTAACACTGGGCCAAGGAGATAGCTGCCTCACAAGTGCAAGGTCCTGCATTAGATCCCTGGTATTAAAAAAATAAAAAAATTACTAAGGCTATTTTGTGTAATCTGTGGTCTATCCTGGAAAACATTCCATGGACACTAAAACTGGGTACTCTGCTCTTGAGTGGCTGGTTCTGTGTATGTTTGTTAGGCCTGACTGCTTTATAGTGGTGTTCATAGTCTCTGTTTGAACCTTCTGTCCTGTTAATCTACCTGTATTAGTCATTTTAAAGTTAAGAGAGGAAAGATTTTATTCAGCTTATAGTATCTAGGGGTTTCAGTCCCTAGTGGGCGGGATCGAAGTCAGGGTGGCATTGCAGAGGGCCACTACAGAGGAAAAGCAGTCCATGTCACTTTAGGGCAACAAGATGACAGTCTACCTCTTTCTTCTGTCCCTTCCAGGCTATCAACTCTTTGGGTAATGCCACCCACACCCAGGGGAGGCCTTCCCATTACCCATATCCCATCAGTGGGCTAATTTAATAGTCACAAACCCTTCATCCCAGCATCACATTCCTTGGATCCAGCTACCTCTGCAAAGCACTGTCTGTGACCATATGAGGCTTTGAGGGGACAGCCAGACCCAAACCATAACTACCCCTTATTGAAAATGGGGAATTACAGTGTCCAACCATTATTGAAGAACTATTTCTCCAACTCTATTGATTTTGCTTTGTATATTTTGGAGTTCTTTTGCTAGGTACATGAATGTGTCTTCTTCTTGATGAAGTGACCCTTGAATCCAAATTAATAGCATTTGTTTCTAGGAATTTTTTTTTTTTTTTAGGACAGGGTACAGGGTCTACAGGGTCTCACTGTGTAGATCGCACTCATAGTGATCTTCCTGTTTACAGGCTCCCAAGTGCTGGGATTACAGGCACATGCCACCACGCCCAGTCTTGATCACTGTCTCAGCGTGCCCCAGGGGCTGGGCTGGCACAGCGGGCCCTGCATCTGCCTAAGCAGGTGCTTTAATCCACTGAGCTATTTGGCTGGCCCTCTAGGAAATTATTTAATTTTGTCTCTTTCCTTTTTTTATTTTTTTCTGTACTAGAAATTGAGCCCAGGTCTTTACACGGAACTACATTCCCAATCCTTTTTTTTTAAAGACAAGTTCTAAGTCATTATTATATTTCCTATGCCAGATTCAAACTTGTAATTCTCCTGTCTTGGTCTCCCAGAGTGCTGGGATTATAGGTATGCACCACCATGCCTAGCCTCGTCATCACCCTTGAAGATACACAATTAGCCAGATACACAATTCCCAGTTGACAAAAATTTTCTTTTTAGGACTTTATGCCATACTACTGCTTCCTCGCCTCCATGCTTGTACTGAACAATCAACTGTTTAATCTTTTTGTAGGATCTCATGTGACAAGTCACTTCTCCCTTGTTGCTATCAAGATTCCTTGTTATTACTTTTTGGCAGTTTGTAATGGGTATTATTGTGAATTTGAGTTCATCCTGCTTGGAATTAATTGAGCTTCTTGGATGTACAGAGACATGTATTCCATCATATTTGAGACATGTTGGGGCATTATTTAAATTTATTTCTGTGTGTGTGTGTGTGTGTGTGTGTGTGTGTGTCTGTCTGTCTGTCTGTCTGTCTGTCTGTCTGTGTCTCTCTCAACTCTTGTGATCCTGTCACATACATTTTATGTTACTATACTGTTACTTGTTTCTTCAGATGTTTATTTTTACATTTGTGTTTTGGTTGTTGTATTTTCCTAAAATATATAGCTTCAATTAGGGGGAGGGGGGAGCGGATCTATCCTCTTCAGTATTCCAGGTGACATTATCAGGAGTAGCCATTGCATCCCAAGTTCTGAGCTAGGATCCAGCAGATGAACCAAAACCACAATCCCAGTTTTGAAAGGCAGGGTGCCATGCCTGCCCTGGCTCCATCCAGCTGCTCCAACAACTGCACTTCTATCACATGGCTTCCCTAGAACTGAAGGGGGATGGTAACAATACCCGGTTCACATACAACACTTTCTCAAAAAAGATCAGCCTCTCCCTTTAAGCAGTCTCCTGATTGTAATAAGTCTCTAAGAAAGTTCCAGAATTCTGAGACATTTGATAGCAATACTCTTTCCAACTTAATAGTCACTTCAGTGGAAGGACTGCCCCTGGACTTCCTACTCTGCTATTTATGAAATTTTACTCCCCCCCCCAATCCATTGTGCAGAAGAGGAAACCAGGGCATAGAGAGTTTTCAGGAATTTGCCAAGGGCGAGGCATGATGAGAGCTCAGGCTGTCTGCCTCTAGAGCCTATGACTCTAACCACTTCACTACTGTGCCTCACTACATGGCCTGCACCTGACCTTTTTTACCTTTTCACTGCTATAGAACAAAATTTTAAATAGCGCTAGAACTGAAAAGAATGTTTAACCATCTGATCTCTAAGCCTATCCCAGGCTTCTCACATCACTAAACACCTCAGGGATAGGGTTCCCATGTTTTCCTAGTCTTGAAAGTCCTTCTTGATTATCTTAGAGATCTTCTTATCCTGTATGCCAACTTGTTTTTGTGCACTAAACGTTTATCTGATGGTATTCTTCCCTGTAGGCACAACTACAAGACCGGAACGACCCTCAGCAGCTGCTGTTAGACTTCAAACACATGTTTCCTGTCTTGTTTCCATTTAATCCATCTTCTCTGACTATGGACTCCATCCACATTCCAGCATGTCTCAACCTAGAATTCCTCAATGAAGTCTGAAGGTGAACCTTTCCAGCATCAGCTCAATTTCCAGTGAGCTCAGCAAGGAAACACATGCAGTTGTGTGAAACTTAGGACCTGTTAAATCCAGTAAAAGTGGATCAAATAAGAAATGGAGAGAGTGCTAAACTAAGAATAAAACACATCTCTGTCATTAATTTTTGTATCTACTCAGAATAAAAACACTTGAAATATGGAAGGTTTTTTTGTTTTTTTTTTTTTTTTTTTTTGTTTTTTTTTTTTTAGGTTTGATTTCAGCCGAAACAAATATACATCATAACTTACAGCTACCAAGTAGTCTCTCTGGCCACATAAAAGATGCCAGTTCTATAAAATGGAAGCTGCGTAGTTTTGATCATTGTATGTAACTGGGAAATGTCCAAATTAGAATAATGTCAAAGTAATGTATCAGTTACCCTGATAGGACTTTTAACAAGTAATTTCCTCAGGTTGACAAATGATAAGCATAAGTGAACTTCTGAAAATGTTTTAAGAGTGAAATCCAGGCTGAGACCTTCTGGGAACCTTCTCCAAGGTATATATTAGAGCCTGGTGAATCAGACGTAGAGGCATAGTTGACCTCCAGACCAGACACTGTCAGTATTGATTTCTGAAGCAAAATTTAGGGACAAAGTCCATAATTGCTCAAGTTCTTTAGTATAGTCTTAGATTTATGCTAAAAAAATGTTTTCCCGGATGTCAGATGTGAGGAAGATGGATAAATACCATTTAAGGTGAAAGTCCATTCACCTACCAAGTTCAGCAAAACTTTGGGAAAA